ATATATGTACAGTGTTTTGGTTTTGTGTAAAAAATAAGTCAAAGATTGTCCAACAGTGAGGGTAGCTTTTTTTATTCTGCACTACAGAGTGAGTTCGTTTAAAAAAAAAAAAAATCACAACGAAGGTATGGAACAGTTATGAAAGGTGACCTACCAGGGCCCACTTCTCAGTCCTCCTTAAATACCATCCTGCTACGGTGGTACATACCAGGATCTTTTTGACTCAGCAATTAAAAGGCCTGTTGGACAAATTCATGAACCAGTTGGTCTAGGGAGTTACTCTCAGGTGCTGTAAGGTGAGACTTATTTCTTTTCTTTTTTTCTTTTTCCTCTCTACACAGGTGAATTTTAAGAAGGACACCACTTCCAAGGCAATTCATAGTGTATTTAAGAATGCTATACAACTGCTGCGGGAAAAAGGACTTGTTTTCCAGAAAGATGATGGTTTTGATAACCTGTACTATGTAAGACACTTACAACTTAACTTTTTTTCCTTCGTAGCTTCAATTACAAATATATTTATTACTTATGAATAACTACTTAATTATTATTAAAAATCATTAAGGAGGTACATAAAATCAGAAGTCAAAGTTGGTCCTTATCCTTCCCCAAGGTATCGCTTTTAATAATAGTTGACCTATGAACCACACAAGTTTGAACTGTGTGGGTCCACTTATATGCAAACTTTTTCAGCCAAATGCAGATGGAAAGTACAGTATTTGCAGATGTGAAACCCACATACGAGAAAGGCTAATTTTTCGTACATGCGAGTTTCACAGAGCCAACTTCAGGACTTGAGTGTGTGTGAATTTGGGTATACCTGAGGGTCCTGGAACTGATCCACCGAGTATACCGAGAGACAACTGTATGTCCTTCTAGACATTTATCTGTACATTTACAAATGCATACATATAAATATATGCTCCTGTGGCTTTTTAATTGTTTCAAAGTCCTGGCTTATGCAAGAGGCTTTTTGTTTTATAAAAAATGTGATCATCTTCTAAATCAACATTTCTCAATCTGAACACTATTCGGGCTAGGTGATTGAGTGTCGTGGGAGCCGTCCTGTGCATTGCAGGATATTTAGCAGTATCCCTGACCTTCACCTACTGGAGACCAGTAGCAGCACCCCAATTGTGACAACCAAAAATGTCCCTGGACATTGCCAAATGTCTCCTGGGACCATTGATACTTGCTACTCTAAATAATGCTCTACACCTTTTTTGGTACCAAAATAACACGTCACAGGCACCTTTCCACATTAGTAGTTATAAATCTACCTCATTATTTTTAACATCCTCAGGGTATTCCATACTATGGGTACCTGTCGTGTATTTTTTAGCCATTCCTTTTTGATGGATACTTAGGGTATTTCTAAGTTTTGCTGTCACAAATAGTGTTGCTATGACTATTTTTGCACAACTATGTTTGTGAACTCATGTCAGTATTTCTGTAAGAGTGACTCTTAAAAGAAGAGCTGCTGGAGCAGATGGCATGGCCATTTAAGCTTTTGGTTGACACAGTGTGGTGGGCCTACCTGAAGGCTCTACCAGTTGACTCTCAGCAGGAGTATGGGTGCTTGTTTGCCTCACTCTTTCCAAGTTAAAAGTTCGCCTTTTTCTGCATACTTTTAATATTGGAGGAGCTAAGCTGGAAATGGGCCTTCTCAGGACCACTGACATCAGTGGTGTGGACTCAGTTACGTGCAGCTCTCCCAGAGACTGATCAAATTCCAGAAGTCTCACTATTTACAGGCAAGAGTCCCGAGGGGGAGCTTTTCTTAATATGTCATTTCCTGATGTTGATTTACCCTAGTGACTCTCCACTTTAGAGGAATTTTAGAAATTAACAATACTATTTAAATAACTTTTGAAACAGGTATCCCGGTCTACATAAGGGCGAGTGCCTCCCACACCATCCCAGGATGGGAGTCCTGGCGTGGGAAGGCTGGGTGGGAGTTAGTTGCTTCCTGGAAGCTGGAGAAGCTCATGGGGGCAGCTCACCTCGAGCCCCGCTCTGGGACACACGTTTCCTCCCAGCCCTTCAGAGAGCAGCCCTTCCTGAGGAGCAGCAGTCCAGGGCAAGGCGTGGCGGGGCTGGGCACTTCCTCGTGTGAATCATTGTGATCAAGCACAAATAGATCTCTTTTTGCCATCTGTGACTTCACCCCTCCACTGCTTTGTAGTCACCTTTCTCCTGAAGCCCTGCCTTAGGGAAATGGTTAAAATAAGTCAACACTTCTGTTTGCCTAGTGCTTTCCTGCATTCAGCAGCTCTCACACATGACCTTGTTTAATCTTCGTCATAACCTCGTGAGCTGAGAGAAGGCAGGTGTTCTCAGGATGCCCCCTCCAGTAAAGCAGGTCAGACAGGCATTCTTGGGCTGTCTTTAAGGAGGAAACTTACAGCTATTTGTTTGCATGTCTGTTTTCTTTCTTCCTTTCTTCCTCTCCCTTTTTCTCTTTCTTTTTTTCTTTCTCTTTCTCTCTTTTTTTGTTACTAGATTCACTGTGGAACATGAAGGTGAAACCTGTTGCATGCTGCTTCCCTCTTATCTGAGCTGATTGGAAAAGACTAAGTGGGCCAGGCGCAGTGGCTCACGCCTGTAATCCCAGCACTTTGGGAGGCTAAGTCGGGTAGATCACTTGAGGTCAGGCTTCGAGACCAGGCTGGTCAACATGGTGAAACCCTCATCTCTACTAAAAATACAAAAATTAGCTAGACGTGGTGGTGCACGCTTGTAATCCCAGCTACTCGGGAGGCTGAGGCAGGAGAATCACTTGAACCCAGGAGGCAGAGGTTGCAGTGAGCCAAGATCAGGCCACTGCGCTCTAGCCTGGGTGCTAAGAGTGAGATTCCGTCTAAAAAAAAAAAAAAAATGGAAAAAGAAAAAGACTAAGTTATGTCTGCCTTTGAGAGCAGAACGTGTTTCGGTGGATAGGCCAGCTTTACTGTCATGCTAGCTTGCTAGCTTGCCCTTGCAGGGTTTTTGGTTTTTTTCTCTTATTTTTCCTTGTGGTTGGGAGAAGCAAGAAAACTGATATAACACAAGACAGGTGTCACGGCTCAGAAGAAGAGGTCATGGGGTGAGGATCGGAGGCCTTGATCACTGTGCCTTGCTCAAAACTATAACAACAAATAAGAGAAATGTGTTATGAGTGTTGAAGAAGAAAGTTAGTTGCTCCTTAAAAGTATGCAATTCCAGCTTTTTTTTGTTTTAACCTCATTGCCCCAGTGAACCAACCAACTCCCAAGGACGTGTCCTCTGGGCAGAACTGGTTTGACACTAGGCCAAGTATCAAACACCACATCGATGGTGTAGGGATGATTGTTATGAAATCTTTAGAAGCTATCCTGAATACTAATTTGGGAGTCTGGATGACACAACTGCTGTGTTACCTAAGAACACTCTCTCTCTCAACTATTTTTCCTATTTAGGTAACCAGAGAAGACAAAGACCTGCACAGAAAGATCCACCAGATCATTCAGCAGGACTGCCAGAAACCAAATCGTAAGTGGCATATAATGTACAAGTGACACCCTGGTGCCCTGGAAGGGGACACTGTCTCCCGGGGAGCACTGGATGGAGAGTCAGGAGACCTGGGACTTTTCCCAGTAATGACTTGGAAAGGCGATAGTTAAAGTACCTGCCCTCCCTGAGCCTCCATCTCCTCTCTAAACGAGTGTTAGGCTAGCACAATTGTTGTAACCTTGGCTATACATAAGATTCAGCCCTGGAGCTCTCTAAATGTTCAGAGCCCAGATTCTACCCTGGGGATTCTGTTTCTATAGAGGATGAGCTGGGGGCTAGACAGGGAATTCTGATACAGTGAGGTAAGGTCACCACACTAGGACGTTTTGATGTCATTCTGCTTCTCATGTTCTCTCTGATTTGGTTATTTCCTATTTCATGCTTGCCCCTTTTCTTTGAACACAAACCTGACATTTCCCTCTATTCTAACATCAAAGTCTTTCAGTGTTGGAAGGAATGGTTCTAGACATGACAGTTTATGAACGGTGTAATTCAGTCATCTTGGAAACTGATAATTTGCAAAAGAAATGGTTTAGAACATGGTTTTAGTAGAGTTAGTTCAGCCCCTAGTGGTTAGACTCTGAAACTGTAGCTAGTATGACAAGGAATAATACCATTTCCACACTAGTTAGAAAGAGAAGAAAGCATTAGTCCCATCTTTAAATGCTATGTAAACTGACCGATCTTAAAGGTGACTTTTCAAAGTCTGGCTTTTGCAAACACGTACTATAATAAGAAGTGTTTAAAAGGTTTGTTAATGACCCCAAGTCCCTGATCTGCCAGTGAACTCCACCTCCAGTCTTTCGGCCCATACATCCCTGGGGCCTGGCCCTGTGCCAGGTTGAGTCAGTGGGTGAAGCTGGGCCAGGTTTCCAGCCCCAGTATTTATGGTAGACAGCCCTAGTTAACCTTTAAGAAGCCATGAGGTCGGATCCCAGAGTGGTGTGACAGCAGCTCTTAAACTCAAAGCAATGTATTATTTCAATGCAAGTGAATGGACTTTGTTCACTTCATTCAGAACAATAAGAACAAATATCCTTCAGTTGAGGGAAAAGTCCATCTGTCCGCAATTGAAGGAGCTTTTGAGAGCAGTGCAATGTGGGATTCCTCAGCCAAGAAGGGATGAGAAGATGCTCCCAAGATAACATCGATGCAGTCACCCTAGTCATGGGCCTCCTGGCCAGATTCTTATTTTCATTGGCATTAGGAATAGAATGGATTGAACCCTAGGGCTCCTAGGGCTAGTAAAGCACATGAAAAGAATTCACATTTCATTTGGACTTGGCTCTCTGAAGTGTCCTGAAAGTGGCAGGTTTAACATCTACATCTACCCATAGCTCATCAAGTGGACAGGCCCTGCCACTCAGTCTGTGAATGGGAGCCTCTAAAAGCCACTAGCCAATCACCTGGCCCTCTACACTCCCAGGAGCCGAATTCTGAAGCCTGAATTACTGACAATGCTGATAAAAGATGTAAGAACTGTGTTGGAACCTGCACCCCACTTCATAATGTCATAACATAGCAATTCAGAATAGTAATGTATGTGCCTCATAAAAAGCCAAGCAGTGCAAAAATACACACCAAAAAGTCAGACTCCCTCCCAGCACTGAGCCCCAGCTTCTGTGTTCTCCTCTCCAAAGGAAGTGGTTGTTATTAGTTACTTGTATATCCTGTTGGATATGTGTTCTTTATCAAGAATAAACTATGCAGATATGTACTTACAAACATATCTGTATTATTTATCCTTGATAGAAAACACAAGGGAAGGCCGGGCGCGGTGGCTCAAGTCTGTAATCCCAGCACTTTGGGAGGCCAAGACGGGCGGATCACGAGGTCAAGAGATCGAGACCATCCTGGCTAACACGGTGAAACCCCGTCTCTACTAAAAAATACAAAAACTAGCCGGGCGAGGTGGCGGGCGCCTGTAGTACCAGCTACTCGGGAGGCTGAGGCGGGAGAATGGCGTAAACCCGGGAGGCGGAGCTTGCAGTGAGCTGAGATCCGGCCACTGCAGTCCAGCCTGGGCGACAGAGCGAGACTCCGTCTCAAAAAAAAAGAAAAAAAAAAAAAGAGAAAACACAAGGGAAGTTTAGCCGATGATATACATTGTCCCACACCTTGTATTTTAGATCTAACATTGCCTTCTAGAGGTCATTTGCCAACAGTACACATAAAAGTGTCTACGTCTTTTCATTAGCTGGACAGTATGCTGTTATACATGTAGGTAAATATCCAACCCTCGATCTAACCATTCCTACTGTGCCTTTAGTTCCTTTCTAACCTTTCATACAGAATATAGCCTGGAGTTTTTCCTTGTCAGGATGATTGGTAGAAGGACTCGAAGTCATTTATGAGTGTCTCACAAAGGCTCACCCTTCAATAATGAAAGGACTGTGAACATCAAGCCTGTCTTAAGTCCCTGAAGGATTGATATTTGTTTTCTGAAGATGGGCAGTGTGGCGGCATTGTGAGGAGCTGTGCTCTGGAGCCACCTTGCCTAGGTTTGAATCCCAGCTCTGCCACTTGGTAGCTGTGTAACATCGGGCAAGTGTCTCGGGTTCTTTAAATGCAAAGTGGGGATAATAATAGTACCTACACGATGGGTTTTTATAAGAAGTCAATGAATGGGCATTTAGAAAGTTAGAAGAGTACTCAGTGCATAATTGAGATCCAAAAAGTGTTAAATAAAAATGAAGTTCTTTTCTAATGGCACAAGTGGTAACCCCTAATTCTCTAGCCTGGAGGCCTGAAGGCTCACCTTCTACTTGGTTTATTGATCTGGAAGGAAGCAGTTTCAGAGATAATCTGTATGTGGATTTTGCTCTATTATTGTTGGAGTAAAGTTGACAAAATCTGGATTTTGGCTTTCAGTATGGGTACAATAATGGCAAATTATCCAAAAAGAAAGAGTTCTATGTTGAACATGTCTTTTTATCTCTAACTTTTTACCTGAAAATGTTCCAATTTATCAAAAAAAGTTAAAAGACTGCTACACTAAACACTGATATACCCTTCACCTAGACTGACTAAAAGCTTCAGTTTGTATTTGCTGAGCATGGGGACCTTCTCCTGTTTGATCACCAAATCATTTCACACCTAAGAAAATGAACATTTGGTGAGTTCCAAAACGGCAGCCTTTCACTAAATGTTCCTTTATACCATTAGCTTTCCAAAAATCTCCCGTGTATTTAGCTCAGGTTCATTTTTTACTAACCCAGAGCTGGAGAGAACTGCTGCTTTTGGTAGAAACTGAGTACCATATAACACTCCTCATACTGGAGGATTTTTTTTTAACTTACGACAAACTTTTAAAAAAGAATTAAAGAAGTTTAACCTTTTGTAGTTATAGTAGTAGGTTATATCTAAAATGTATCTTTATGTCACTTGGGTCTCTAGAACATCAGCATTTGTGCTTTCTGGTGGAGGTATGATGGGGTATAGTATGAATCAGGCTGCATGCGAAAGTTCTTGGGAAAATATAAGGTGCAGTTATCACCGCTCATAGAGATCCATCATGAGATAACTATGTCTGCCAGGCAAACACTTTTCAGAAAAGTCTGCTTCGGCTTGTGGGTTTGTTCCAGAAGAGTCGAATTATGTAATTGAACTAACCACTGGGGACCTCCTTGCTGGCGTTTCCTACTTTTACTGTTTTCTAATAATTTCTCACTTAGAGAAGAATCTAAGGCCAGGCACGGTGGCTCACTCCCATAATCCCAGTGCTTGGGAGGATTGCTTAGGCCAGGAGTTTGAGACCAGCCTGGGCAACATAGGAAGACCCTGTCTCTACAAAAAATAAAAATTAAAAATAGAGAGGAGTCTAAGTTCACATTACCCATGTGACTGGAAATCACTTTTGAACAGCCTCACCAGATAACCCTCAGCAGAACAGCCTTTCTGAATAAATAGTTGAAGGCCTCTGAGACAGCATCACTGCTTCGGGCCCCATGGGTGCCTGTAAGTCATCTTGAGCCCTGGGTCCAAGCATCCAAGCCTTGCAGAAACTAAAGGCTGAGCAGGACTAAATTGCTTGTGCTTCTCCCTACCGTGTGCAGGTCTGTGTGGTTGGAGCCCCTCACCCTCCATCATCAAACCTATCCTCGCTTGCTGGTCAGCTCTTCCTCCTTGAAAGGCTTTTCTTCTTGGGAAGGGCTGAGTTCCTTCTCTAGAGCAGGAACTAAGTTACATTCATCTTCTTGGGTTATGGATATGATGAACCAAATCATAGTAGTTCCCCCTGGTCTCTCATCCACACAGCCACCCTGAGAAGGAGGTGGTTTTGTTCCCGGGAATGACTTTGTCCCAGTTGTAGAGCCAGGGCTTGAATTCAGGTATGGTGGACTCCAGTGGCAGCTCTCAGTCTGCCAAGCTCTACTTGCTCCTCCTTGCTCAGCACTGCACACATAGTAGGTGTTCAGGAAGTCTATGGAGTGAATGTTGAAGAAACAGCCTGGAAGTGTGGACGCTAGCAATCCCAATCGGGAGGAGTAATGAGTGGACACAGCCACTAGAGGTCAGAATTTAGCAAATCTTTGTTAGCCCAGGAGCAGTCTCTGAACCTTAGGGTTGGAAAGGGCCTTGGAAGTGGTTTTCACGACAGCTGAGAACACTGAGGCCTAGGGATGACTTGCCCAAAGCTACAGAAGTGCACCAAACGTTGAACCATGCTTTGCCTTACACTGCAACACCTCTTCAAGCACCTTCCTGAAGCCTAAAGCATTTTTCATCTGAAAACAACTTTCAGTGACTGTGTGGAGCACCTTTTGTGTGCCAGGTGGTACTGGGTATACAGCAGAGAGAGACCGTACCTGGCCCTACCATGGAGTTTTAAACTGTGCCAACTGGAGGGGGTTTGCTTTTGGTAAAGAAGTTTGACTTTGACTCAAAGTTAGAAATATATTTTACATCATGACCCAATAAATTATATAATTCTAATGCATAAGATATATATGGAATAAAGTTTCATGAATTAATATGTATCCAAATTACAATGCAAGATATTCTGTAATGTTCTATTTCTGCTCTCTTTTAGTTTGGTAAGAAAAAGAATGCTGATCGCAACCTACAAAAATTGGTTTCATGATCCCCTAATAGGCACAACCCTCAGTTTGACTACTGCCGACCTAAAAGGAAGGAGCTGAGGCAAAATTAATACAAGTAGAGAGCTGATTTGGGCCAAGTTTCAGGATTGCAGCTGGGGAGCACAGATTCAGGTTTCTCTGAATATACACTCTGATGAGCAGCAGTGATAAGTGGATTTTTTTTTTTTTTTTTTTTTTTTTGAGATGGAGTCTCACTCTGTCACCCAGGTTGGAGTACAGTGGTGCAATCTCAGCTCACTGCAACCTCCGCCTCCCGGATTCAAGTGATTCTCCTGCCTCAGTCTCCTGACTAACTAGGATTACAGGTGCACGCCACCACACCTGGCTAATTTTTGTATTTTTAGTAAAGACGAGGTTTCACCATGTTGGCCAGGCTGGTCTCAAACTCCTAACCTCAGGTGATCCACCCACCTCAGCCTCCCAAAGTTCTGGGATTATAGGCGTGAGCCATGCGCCTGGCCCATAAGTGGATTTTTAAAAGCCAAAAAGGAGGACAGAGTTGATACAAAGTTGTTTGTCAGGAATTCTCATTGGTTTATAGATAACATTGATTGGTGACTGGCTATACATTGTTAAGCTATAGAGTGTGGATTATAGTGTTCAATTTCACATAATTAGGCTAATTTATAACTACTTGTGCCAATAGCAAGCGGTTTCCAAGGTGAATGCATAGTGAGGAGTAGAGCGTGATTGCCGTTTCATCGTCGTGTCTCTCAGGGCCTGATAATTAAAAGGACTTGCATTCTTCCTATTTTGTTTTCTCATTACCAGTGTTTAGGTCATTGATTTCAACTAGGAAAGAGGTTGTTAACTGTGAGTTTGTATTGTTGTGTGCCAGATGGTCTTAGTTTTGCGCAGAGGATAAGAGGTTACTAGGAATACAACTATCACAGATGAGACTTTTGGAAGCCAGGAAGAGAGGAATGGGAACAGGCCAAAGGTAGGAATCCCTTCTCACCAGGCAGCCCCATCAAATCAGGACTTAGAGGGAAGCATACGGAGGCTGCAGCAAACCAGCTGTGCTGTGAGTCTCAAGAGGGCTCCCCGCTGAGAAGCTAGAGGTTTGGCACTGAATAGGTTACACTTATACATGTAATTACCCCAGAGAAAAAAGTTTATCAAGCACTAAAAATCCACTAGGTTATGGATAAAAAAAAAAAAATCTTTGATTGGGAATCCTTGAAGGTTGAAGTTCAGAGTCCCTGAGCAGTGGCTCCACGTCGCCGTGGTGACATCAGGGGCCTGAGAACAGGTGTTTCTGTTTTGTTTTTGTGATCATATAGATAATGCATCTCAGACTTTAATGTGCATAAGGATCATCTGGGGATCTGGTCAGAATGCAGGTGCCCAGACAGGAGGTATGGAGAGGACAGAGGAGGGCCTGACAGTTGTGACCGCGCTCAGCCACCCGCCTTTTTCCTGCAGACATGGAGAAGGGCTGTCACTTCCTGCACATCTTGGCCTGCGCTCGCCTGAGCATTCGCCCGGGCCTGAGTGAGGCTGTGCTGCAGCAGGTTCTGGAGCTCCTGGAGGACCAGAGTGACATCGTCAGCACAATGGAGCACTACTACACGGCGTTCTGAGCAGAGACACGCAGACCAGCTGAGGAGGACAAAGATAAGGTGGCATTCACTCCCAGGCTCTGACTTTCAACATCATGCAGGGGCTTGTCTGTCTGGAGGCAGTTACCTCATAATAAACTATAAAATATGGTCATTTTGGGAATGGGATTTGGCATAAATGTGGTTGGCTGCCTTCTGTCTGCTGTGTCCTTGGGGTACAATGACTTTGATCGCAGCCATGACACAACAAGAAAACCCTCCCGGTTGACCTCCTGGCTGGACTGCGCATTGTTCGCAGAGCAGAATGGGGAGGAAACAGTGTTGGCAGCTTAACTGATATGTGTGGTTGGAGTCTCTACCATGGCAAAGGGACACCACAGGGTAGTGAACATTCAGGAACTGAAGGGCATGTGGCCTGATCACACAGTACCAAGCTTTTCAAAACTTCAGGTTATCAGAGACCTTCCTGTGGGCCTCTCTTGATGGCTAAGAACCAGTTTAGGGGAGTAGTTCTCTCTGGATGAGTGTCACTTGCTTACAGTTTCTGTGACTCAAGTACCAGCAGTGGGGTTGAGACCTGGGTTGATGTTATTTACAAGCCTGCCCAGAGATGGGAATAAACAGAGATCCACGGCATGACTATATGTTTGTCATTTTCCTTTTATTTCCTTGGGAATCGAAAGGTGTCCCAGTACATTTCCCTGCACTTGCAGAGGTGCATGACTAAATACATTGTCCCTCAATGCCCCTGAAGATCACAGAGGCAGTCAGCCAATTGCCTGGCAGGCAGCAGATGTTATTTTCAGGGTTGCCGCTGAGTGTGCAGGATGTGCTGACACCATCCAGACAAAGACTCGGTATGTGCCCAGACAGGTGATGGAGTCATGCTTTTGCTCAGAATGACAAGGTAAAGGAAAAACATCTGAGGTATGTTGTAGGCCTGTTCTGACAGCAAAATGACAAATCCAGCCAGCAAAAATAAAGTGTGGAGAAAGATTTGGAGTTAATTACAGTCATTTAACAGAAGGCACTGCCTTCGTCTGCCGCATTTGCTCTTGATGTAATAAGCTCTTCGTGGCTCAGCTGGAGATCCTTTAGGCCTGGAGAGTTGCTCCTCTCTCCATGGAAACAGGACAGTCTTTATACACAGAAGTCCTCTGCAGCTGGATATGTCAGGCTGAGAGCTAGGACCAGTGGATTGCCTCCTGTCATAGACTTTTGGCAAACCTGTGCTGATTTCTGAAAGTGATTATGTGGCTGCCCTGCATCTTCTCTGTGTACAGAAGGGTCCCTAGAATAGAGTCTGCCTGGAATGATGTCCTGGGCAGTTCTTCCTTGAGGTCAGCAGCTCTTCCACGTGGAATGCGTCTTTGATTAGTGGGGCTGCCCAGCAAGGAGTCCAGAATCAGAAGGTAAAAAGGGCATACCCTTGCCTACAGCAACTCTGCTCTTAAGGGTTTATCTCAGGGAGATGACCACACCAGTGTGAAAGGATGATTGCACAAGATGCTCATTGCTGTGTAATCTAGAATTCTATATTGGGGAAAATATCTATAGGGAAAAAGTTAATTACGGTTCTTGGGCACAGTGAAATGCTATGCAGCCATGAAAAAAATGAATGCAGACAGTGTTGCCATGGCATACTGTCCCCAATAGATTTAGTGGCAAGTAGATAGAGTTATAGATCTGTTTCTATAGGATAACACCATTATCTACAGCTCCCTGCGTGTATGTATATATCCATAGAGAGAATGTATATTTCTGCATGGAGGTCTTTATAAATGTAGCACATGTGTATATATACATACAGTCGACCACTCCCTTCTCCTGGAAGTACTTGCAGAGGTGCATGACTAAATTACTCACAGACAGATTGGATGTGAGGTATGATAGAAAGAAGCCAACGGATTCGGTTTGAGCAACTGGATGATGGAGCTGCCTCTTCCTGAATCAGGGAAATTTTCCAAAGGAGTGGCACAGCATTTCCGCATTGGGCTTTCAGGACACTGAGCTCTCTGGTTGCTCCTTCTCGGGTTCCTTTGTTCAGTGCTCTGCCTTCCTGAGGGCTCAGTCCCAGACCTCTTTTCTATCTGACTTGCTCCCTGGGGGGTCTCCAGCAACCACATGGATTATACCATCTACATGCTGTCCAGCTCCTCAATTTAAACCCAAAATGGGCCTCTTCCCTGAACTGCAGACCCCTATATCCAGTTTGCTACTGACATATCCACTTAGGTCTCTAATGGACATCTCAAACTTCATAGGCCCAAAGCCAGGCTCCCAATTACTCCTGACCCCAGGCTTGCTCCTGATAGCAACATGAGGCAGCCAAATGCCTAGGCAGAGAGGGGCGGGTCCCAAATGAAACCCCACGTTCAAGTGAAGAACAGCCTGAAGGCTAAAAGACCAGACTGCTGGTCCTGGATGAAACCCACCACCCAGAGTGGGAACTTCTGTTCCTGTTTGCCTACCCTTTCCCAATCGATTCTTTCTGAATAAACGCCTTAACCAATCGAATGTTGCCTTTTCCAATAATACCTATAGCCTGCCCCTCCCCCATTCTGAGCCCATAAAAAGACCCGGACTCAACTGTATTAGGGGGACTTTCCCGCCTTTGGGTAGGGGGACCACCCCCGTGTCCCCTCTCTGCTGAAAGCTGTTTCATCACTCAATAAAACTCCCAGCTTTGCTCATTCTTCCACTGTCAGCACATTCTCATTCTTCTTGGGCGCTGGGCAAGAACTCAACCAGTGTGTAAGCCATACTTCGCCCAGGCGGGTGAAGTGGGCAGGTAGCATTATCAAGCAAGGCCCAGGCGGGGTGTCACCAGCCAGAGGTCCCTGGCTTGCAAAGTAACCGAGAAAAAAATGCTGTGCCACTCCTTTGGAAAATTTCCCTGATTCAGGAAGAGGCAGCTCCATCATCCAGTTGCTCAAACCGAATCCGTTGGCTTCTTTCTATCATACCTCACATCCAATCTGTCTGTAAGTAATTTGGCTCTACCTTCAAAATATCTCCAGAATCTTAAGTGCTTCTCCCTCCTCCCGGCCTCGTGACAGTCTTCCCTGCTTCCACCCCGGCCCGTCTTGGGCTGTTCACAGCACAGCAGCTGCTGCCACCCTGTTACGCTCCCACTCTCCTACAGCCTTTGGTCTTGCCCCAGGTAGGAGCCTGAGGCTGCACAGAGGTCAGCACAGCCCCGCTTGCCCTGCCCTCCTGCCCTCCCAGCCCAGCTGCATAGGCCTTGCTGCACACACGCCTCAGCATATTCCTGCCTTAGGGCCGGTGCTCCCACTGTTTCCTCTTCCCAGGTAAGCAAGTGAAGTGCCTCCTTCTGCCCTCTTTCCAGTCTTTACTTGAGTGTCACCTTCTCAGCAACGCCTGCCCTCATTCCTCTTTCGTTGTTTGTAACCTGCCTCCTGTCCCCCTTCCCAGAACTCCCTTTCCTACTTCATTTTTCTTCGCAGTGTTTGATACTGCCTAACACACTCCATGGTTTCTTACTTGCCCTATTTATTATTTTTCCCCAATAGACAGAATGTTCCATGACGGCAGAATTCTCTGTTTTGTTTCCTTCCATGTCCCTAGCACCTAGAACAGTGCCTGACACATCTCCTAAGCAATACGACCAATAAGTGTGTGTGTGTCTGGCTGCCTTCCAGCTGCCAGTGTCTGCCTCTGGGCTGCCAGTGTCTGCTTCCTGGCTGCCAGTGTCTGCCTCTTTCCTGAGGGCAGCGATTGGGGGAGGTGCTTTCTCGCACGTCTTAGTAGGCTGTGCAGGCTGGAAGTGCTCAGAAGTCACACCCCCAGGGAGCAGCCTCACCCAACAGCACCTTAGGTATAAATGCCCCAGCTCCCTCGCCCTCAGGTAAGCATTGCCAAGGCACATGTTCCACACTCTTTTCCAGAGTTCCTCTGTGGGACTGAGCACCATCCATCTACCCACAGGAGCAGCTAGCCTGATAACTACCAGCCTCACCCTCCCTGCCTTACTTCCCTGTTCCTCTTTACCACATGCTGACCTCCCAAATGCATTTCTTGCTTTCCGGTCTCTGTTTCAGGATTGGCTCCTGGATGAACACAAACACTGTGTTCACAAATATATTTGGGAAATGCTGGATGAATAATTATACACATCAGACAGATTACTAGAAATGCTCACCAAAGGGATGCACGTGTTACCTCTGCATGGTGAGATCTCAGGTGCTTTTTACCCCACATAGCTATCCTTTGGCAGTTTTATAATTAGCAAATGCTCACCCTTCCACCGTCAGTACATTCTCATTCTTCTTGGGTGCTGGACAAGAATTCAACCGGTGTGTAAGCCAGACTCGGCCCAGGTGGTCTCAAACTCCTGACTCCTTACATAATTTCTACCACACTCATGTAACCTGAAACATGAGTAAACCAAAAATGAGGTAGGCCTCTGTCTTCTACAGCAACATCAGAACTCTAAGAACATGAGGGACTCTTAGAAAACTCTCTGGAGCTAACCACAGTTGGGTCACAGCTCATGTACTGAAGACCAGCCAGAAGGTTCCCCTGAAAAGGAGGGAAACTGAGCAAACATTCTCCAGTTCTCTTGGTGTGCACGTGTTTCAGGAGGTGTGAACCCCACATGTAGCTTATGTAGGCAGGAAGACAAATAGTGCTACTGTCTGGTCAAGGATTTGTTTGAAGAGCCATGATTATCCCCATATGGTAAGCTACCAGTGCTCCGCATCCCTGTAAGACACTTCTTTCTCATTACTTTCTCCTCTGATGGTGTGCCAGGACACTGGCCGAGAGAAGCCAAGTGGAAAGAAGGCTGTTCAGTGACGAGGAACCTAAGACTTAGTGCCAAGGACTGAAACCAAGTAAACTTGTAATTTTCCATGATGGAAACATCTACGCTTTCTCATTAGTGGCCTTTACAGCAGTTACCCCAAAGAAGTGTCTCATTGTTTTCTTACTACATTTATGTGAAGCATACAGGCAAACTCAGAAAGACTGTGATAAGACTCACCAGAGATGCCTGCACAGGTGCTGGGGGAAAAGCAGGACCATCCTGGAGGGAGATGGTGTCTGTGGACAAAGAACTCTGCAGTGGTTCTTATTTGCATGACTTCCACTGGTGGAGGCTCTAAATATGAGCTCAAACTCCCACGTAAGTGAGTTTTCATTGTAATCCAGAATTTTTTTAACATCAGCCTACTTCTAT